GTAATTGCTTCAGGGGCCACAGTAGTTACTGTTGGGGCAGGGGACGCTGTGGTTTCTCCCGGGGCCGCCATGGTTGGTGCTTGGGCCACAGTAGTTGCTGTTGGGTCTGGGGACCCTGTGGTTGCTCCTGGGGCAGCTGATACACGGGCAAAAATACACGAGCAAGGAAGATTGTCATGCCAACAAAAAAAGTGATTTTGTATTATATTATTATTATTATGAATATTGTTACATTTCATTATATTGTAAAACTAAATTTAAATCCTTAAAATATTCACCATTGAATTACTTACTGATGTTGTCTGCTGTTGACTTGTCTTCTCTGCAGCGACAGATGTTGTGATGCTCTCTGATTCCACCTGTTCAATAAGTTGTTTGCTGTTTGATGTCCTACAATGGACGGACGGCAGCTTTTATATCCACACAAAGCAGGTAGGAGGACATCTGTCTCTGAACAAAGACGTACATGATTGCATGAGTATTGTCTTTACACCTCTGTGTAAGGTGTGCCAATCCCTTTAATGGCACATTCATAATTATATTTCTTGCCTTTTATTAAGGTAGGACATCAGATTTTGTTTTCAGTTTTTTAAATCAGGGGAGGTATTTTTTTTAATGTAGATTTCTTTGGATAAAAAAGTGCTTTGCACACTTTATTCTAGTAAAAATATTAACAGTGTTTTTCTTTCCCACAATGTTTTTCTTTTAATTGTTGTATAACAATAATAAAAAAATGAAATATCAACAAACATGCTTCATCTGTATTATACAAGGCAATCATTTGAAAACATTATGCAGGAAAGAATCTCGGAAACTGTGCCCGCAATACATCTATTCATTTTCTTGAACATTAGATACATTTAGATCCTTCACATAATCCATGAAGAGCTTCCATACCATCTCAAATACTTGCTGTCTAGCTCTTAATATCTAGGATATCTTCTCCAATGGGAGGCCTGACAGCATCAGTGACTCCCAACCAATTAGTGATGCTTGGGCTGTGAGCCTTTTTCCAAAAAATGCAATACAGGTTTTGGCGTAGAGCAAGCTGAGGTCTATGAATGATCGCTCATGTTTACTACATGCATGCTTTATATGCCCAACAGAAAAAACTTTGAATCCAGTCAAATCTGCTTTGAAATTATTTTCTCTATTGTACCTCGTACCTCTTCCCAGAACACATTCATCTTTCTGCACTGCCAAATACAGTGAAACAATGTTCTCCTTGATTCTGTGCATTTTGTGCATATACTGTATCTGATATATATTTGTTGTATCGGTGTAAATCAAACGGGTTCACATATGTTCGCATCAACAATTTATACTGTATTACTTTCAGTCGTGTATTAATATACCTGGTATGAGCAGCAAGAACACATTTTAAATAACTGTTGACACTCGATCCTATTGCCGTTTACAGTATATCAAGGGCTTCATGTGAGGTCTTCCATTGAAATAGTGAATTAAACTCATTATTCTTTGCGTTTGTGGCATGTCTAACAGCATGCATGCATTTTTATTTCAATAATGTGTTACCTCAAAAAGTAATTAAAGTTTACTCAACAGAATATGTTAAATTATGTTTTTTTCGGTTGTTCTTTTTGATGTTGTTGAACCTAAAATGGACATTCAGAACTGTAATGTTGCACGGACAATCTGGTTTGGATGACTTTTCAGGAGAGAAGTGTGGATATTCAGTCATGACACATACAGAATGACTTAGCGTTTATATAAAGACTTGCCTACGGAAGCAATGTGGGGTTAGGTATCCTGCCACGTCAACATGTTGGCTGCAAGGGCTGGGGATCGAACCACCAACCCTGCTACTGCTTGATTCCCCTGACTCACTGCCATTTCTGCAGGATAGCAACACAATTATTATTATGATTTAATTGTTTGCTTTAGTTAGGGTTGAAATCAAACAGGTAGAGGTAAAAGTGCTGTAAGGGTTGAGGCTCCACCCTTGGTTGACAGTGCAGGAATGGTGGCTGTTGTTATTATTATATCTTACAATTTCAAGGAGATGCAGTTGGACAATTAAAAACACATATGGGGAAAATATTGTTTTTTGCCAATGATTGGAAAATGTCATGAATACAAAACTCAATATAACCTATTTTTTCTTTGTGGAGAATGCAGTGCACACGGAAGTAATATCTTGCATGCCACGTTACATATTATTTAGCTGCCACTTTTATCCAGAGCTGCTTAAATGTAGTTCAGGTGTATTTGTAAAATCTCTGCAATAAAGCTAAGTCATCAGCAGATATTGTAATGATCATAATAACTATTTTAGTCCTATTCTTATATTGAAAACAGAGGCGCCGCTTGCCATCATTGAATGATGATGCTTTGTGATTCTTATGAAGGATGTTAGATGTGGGAGTCTGCACAATGCAAAGTATTACCACAAGGTAACCCTAGCCCCAATATGAGGAGTGTAAGCAGCTGTGATGATTTGCGGGTGTATTTTTTTCAGATTCGAGGACAGGTGACATGGTGCGCAAGAACATTTTTATTGTCTGCACTGCATTGAAATAAAAAGTAAAAAAAAGCACTCACTTTGTACACACAATGTCTGCGGATAGGGGACATATTGTTGACACTGCCTAATGTCTTTGAACATTAGAAATTCATTGAAACATTCCAGATGAAAGAAATATACAAAAACGATTCCCTCATTAACATAAAACAAACAAAAGTAAGAAAACAAATATTTTCTGGATTTAATACTGTGCAAAACTCATCTATAATATTGAAATGGCATTCAGTCCGTCAGTGAAAGGGCAGGAATGATGTGAAAGTAATTGATATTCCACAGTCTTAGTGTCCACATTCACATCAAACAGTCGAACAAAGAAAAAACTCAAAGGAAGTTTAGGATTGTGTATCTACAAAATCTGCATTTTAACAACCTAGCTATTTACAATGTACAGAGATTTAAACACATACATCTGTTACAAAGAACAAAGGAGCTGCCTGCCCGAGTGGATCAGGCAGATTAGAGTACAGTGACGATCTGAAGCAGTTTCATGTGCTGTCTGTCCACGAGGCCGCATGGGAACTAAGCCATTAGGGCCGGGATAAGGGTTTGACCTCTGTCTACAGACATGGTGAAGATGCTACAAAGAAACAGACAAAACTGGAATGCAGTGCCGCTAAAATGTGTCAGCTCCGCATGGATATTTGGAATAATGCTTTGATATGAAACAGATCAAAGAAACAAGAATATGGTCGGCTGGTGCTTTTGATTATTTGTGCCAAAGATTTTTAACTCTACAGTAGCAGATAAGAAATGACTGTTGCAAAGAGTGGCTGTGGTTGCTAATATCATTATTTCAGATTTGTTTTCATCACATAGCTACTCAAATACCTTGTTTTCTGAAGATACATTTTCTCATGATCACATTTAGATCATGGCATTCTATTCAGTTGTAGATGAGGATTCTTCACCTAAAATATGACAATAAAAAAGGCTTTGTTATAATTAATAGTCCACCAAATGGAGCATAGCGTTAGTTCAGGGCCAAACCCTGAGGTCACACTATAGTTGTTTGGGATCAGCTGCTTCATTCATGATTTGCAATAACTAGCTCACTCATCAGCCCTGTGGCTACCAGCTTAATAGTAACATATTCATACAGGTGTACATCATAGTCATGTAGAACGACAAAGGTCATTTTACTGCTGTTCTTATTAACAGCAGCTGAAATGTATTGAGAGAACAGAACAACATGTTAAGTCCTGATGTCCTTAAACTAGGTTGGGGGTAATATTAGAGGAAATTATTTATCCAAAAAGAATAGTCTTTAAAGACTACATTTAGAAACGGTGTCTTACCTGTGGGTATAATTATCAGTTTGTGATTTATTTATAGTTTATTGCATCAGCAACTATAGCAGCTCTTGGCTTCCGCACCAGATGAAATAAAGTTGGACGTTGAACGATACATTAAACATTTTAGAATGATGAGAAACCATGGCAGAAATCTCATGACTTGATGGCGGACAAAACATTTTGAGGCAAAGAGCAAGCACATTCCACATTAAAAGAAATAAATGGCTCTTCGTCATGTGGCTGATACATTGCTTCAGATGTACTCACCAGTAAGGGCATACTATTTTACAAAGTCTGTACAAGTTCGGAGCACTACAAAGTTTACAAATCTCGGAGGAAAAAAGGAAACGGGTATTTGTGTAATTATTTTGTATTTCTTTTCCGAAAGTAGTGGTCCAATTGGCTTCTTTGAAGGAGCAGGGAACAAAACAACCCTTTTACTTACATGATTGTCCCTTCTCTTTCTCTCTTATCTTCTCTACCGCATCTGTACATTTCCATCTCTTTTGGATTAGTCTTTCTCATTCACATTCTCTACCCCATTCTTTTCACATTACAAGTGACTCCCTATTGGAGCAGGAAGGACACTTCTGATTGTTCTGCACAGCGGAGACTAAACTGACAACACACAGTGAGTGTGTTGTTTATGGTAAAACTCAACACTCCAAAGGATAGTACTTGAAACAGTTGAAATGTGTTTTTTAACGTTTAGATTTAAGGTCATTATTATAGCTAAAGAAGTACCAAGCTTTAATGACAAAGCATTTCTTCCTGTGATAACCTCCACTTGTGCATTTCCTTCCATTTCTTCCAATGTCATGCTCCTTCTGGTCCATTATAGACCCCATAGCCTTTGTTTACTGACCAATCACACCTCAGTCTGTTGCTGTGAGTCAGTGATGATGGTAACGCCTCGACGAAGCTCGTCCATACTGTCAAAGTCACTGCCATGTTCAGAGTCATCCAGCCCGCCGGGGGCCGACATGTCCGAGGTTGACGATGCACCAACGGACAGTCGCATGTTTAGCGACACAGAGTCATCAGTGTCCCCATTTCCTGGGGTTACCCCACTCATTGGAGTGCTGAGGTCCCCATGGGAGGCCTCTCCAAGGGGCAGCTGGTGGGGAGGCAGGTATTGGCTGGGGTGGAAGTTTGGCCTGGCTTGCTGATGCCCAGCGCTGCCAGAACTTAGGGTGCTCTCTTTGGAGACTGGGGGGTTGGTGGGCAGCGGCGTGTAGGCCTCAGGGTATTCCTCACCTGTGGGCAGCGGAGGTGGCAGCTGGTCTAGACTCAAGAACTCTTCTTCGTGGGGAGGGGGGTAGTCGCTGTCAATGTCATAGCCCCCTAGGTAATAGTCTGATTCAAGTTCACGGGTGCTTCCTCCGAGGCGTGGGGCTGAGCATGCTACGTCGCTGCTGGGGGGTGCTTCATAGCCCGGCACCTCTTCAATGTCTGATAGCCTGGTGTTAGGCATCCAGTCCGATGTGTCCCAATGGTATGCTGAACAGTAGAAGGAGAGATGGTTAGGAACAATCTGGTCTGTGAAACAAGACAACATCAAACTAGTTTCCACAATGAAGAGCTTTGCAGCAGACATGCCTTAGTATGCACCAGGCACATTATACACAGTACAATACACAGAGTGGCGGAAGCTCAGGTTCAAGACAAAGCACATCCTGGACAGAACACTTTTTAGACCTTTAAGGGTATTTGGCATGCACAACAAGAGCCTTTGAGTGTAGGGATCACAGATGTCACAGCATGCTGAGCTTCATGAAGATTTGCAGCACTCAAGCCTTATTGCGGGATCAAAAAACACATTCTGGATGTTAGAAGGGTACATCAAATATCTGGCAGATTTTCCTCTTGGTCAATGTAGCAAAGTGATGCAAAACCATGCATTGTCTTGGCTCTAGACAATACGTCTGTACTCAAATGACCCAAATTTGAACAGTGTCACTGTAAGTTTCTGATGAAAATGTCTGGACTGCGAACAACAGCCAATGGCAGAATGAAGAATAAAAAAATGAAAGGATATGAATTATTTTGAGATTGTACGGTTTTACACTATATTCATTGGTTGTCTCCTCTAACTTCAAGCTAAACTAAGCTGCAATGTTGATCACATTTGGCGGAGCCCTTAGTAAGGGTTTACCCAATAGAAACTCAATGGGTGGGAGTCGGAAATGGGACCGTTGCTAAGGTTTTTGTAGTGAACACTTGAGCCAACAATCTACTGACATAGCATGGATGATGATGCTCATCAAAGAGGTTTCTCAGAACAAAAGGATAATCTACCAAAAACTCTGCAGATACATTTAACTGAGTACAAGTTCATTCAAGAGTAACACAGGGTGAGTAAAGCAATGACAAATCAAACAAGAACACATCCATGCATCAAAGCAGAACACAAACCATGGGAAGAGGCTGTGAAAACTTCATCACGCAACAACTGGTACAGTAACATCACTGGGCTGGAGATAAAAATCCAAACAAAGTAACATGGTGGATGCAGTGAGGTGAGAATGGCAGGCAATACAATTGTCAGGAAGGGGGGGACTGCACTGGGCTGCTAATTTAGCACATCACAATGAGTTGTTGGAGGGGTCGGAAGTCACATTAAATCACATATACGCACACAAACCTCCAACTCGGGAAGAGGATGAGCAGAGCAATGTACCAATGACAGAAATACGAAAGTACAGCTGGGTATACACAGAGGTAGAAAGATACAGCGGATAGACAACAAAATTGAGGGTTCAAGATAAAATAACTTGGAGATAAAACAGTGATGATTCAAGATTAGATTTTTTGGTATGCTATTGGTGGTCTGGTTCAGGTGTAGTTAAGCCAATTTCCAACACAACATAGGGAGGTTATGGCTCTAATGTGTAATAAACATTTGCCATTTAAAATAAATCTGCATGATTTCAATTAATGTTTACCAGGTAAATGTATTCTTCTTCCCTAATTTTAGCTCAGGGGTCTCAAACTCAAGGCCCGGGGGCCAAATCCGGCCCGTGACTTCATTTTATGTGGCCCCTCAAGAGCTCGCAAAGAATATAATACATTTATTATACGGTTACATGCCACTTTACAGAAGCAGGTTGCCCATAAACTACATGTCCCACAATGCATCTCGTTTTGTGACTGAAGAGACTTGCAATTATTTGCCCTGGAATTCTGCTTTTCAGGCGTAGTTAATTACTAAGTTATTATCCTATTCGATAATAATCCAATTCAGAGGCAATAATGTCATATAATACATTATTTTATATATATATATATATTTTATATAGTTACAACCGGCCCTTTGAGTGCAACATTTGTGCGAATGTGGCCCGCGATGAAATTGAGTTTGACACCCCTGCTTTAGCTGGTGAATAACTACATTGTTCAACACTATTGTTCAAGTACTCTCGACCAATGACCAGCAGAAAAGTGTGAAACCATCGGTAATGTGTATCGCATCAACAGCAGTACTTTGGGTTTATTCATTGGATATAAGCAACAGCTAATTTACATGTAATGTTATGAACTAATGCAATTCAACTGCTAACATGCCAGAGCGAGACAGTATAGCTCTCTTAGCTGGACACAACAGTCAGCACTGTCAAGACAGTCTGCTATTGACTATCACTATATTGTTATTATTTGAATAGTCTACTTTTAGAATGATGTTGGCCAAAGGCACCAGCAAATGGCGTGTGTGTGTATGCATGGAGCCAGTTGGTGTATTTATTGTTTAATCATAATTAAAGCAGCAGGTCAAATAGCTGCTAATATAATAGCTCCTCAAACATCCAGGACATCATTATTATGCTAATTAATATATGG